GAGGGGGGGGGGGGGGGGGCGGAATCTGCATTTTTATCCTGACAAAGTGAGCTGGAATGGGGAAGGGCCCCTCCACGAAACGCCATTAGGCTATCCAACTTATTTACCTGTTTCATCTGTAACTTCCGGATAATAGTTACACCGCGTTGACGTCAGTGACTTCCGGGTTCCTGCACCTTTGTGTAGTCCATCAAAGAAATGCCGATCCTTTTTTGTTAAGAAAAAAAAGGATATTGCACATTATCTATTGACATCTCAATACAAATAAAGCGCTCACATGTACGACTACATTTATAAATGCACGCAAAACAAAATTATTTGGGTCATCACTGCTGGAGGGTCAGGGGAAAATTGACAGATGTTACGTCTTTTCAAATTCAAATTGCGCGAGTATTTGCACAAGAATAAATAAATAAATAAATAAATAAATAAATAAAAACAATTAAATAAAAACTTAAATCAAAACCCGCAAACAAAAGATAATAGCAAGAATCTGTCCAGAACAGATATCATTTACTTGTAGTACAGATTTTTTTTCATTCACGGTGAAGTTGTCTAAGGCAATTAACAGACATGGTGTCGTTGACGCACTATAGTGCCTATCCCGCATTTAGATAGATACATCCATTCTTGTTGTTATGCGCGTTTCGAAAGTCTAAGATCATGCTTAAGTTTTATGATTGAAATTGACAGTTAACTAAGAGGATAGGTAAAGTACATGTACGTAAGGGAAGAAAAAAAGTTTGATAAAAACATGAGAAGATATAAACCATAAGTGCCATAGAGAACCACTCCTTGTATACTCAGCTGAGGTATTCTGCTGATTAAGGGGGTTTATCTATGGTACTGGTACTCAGGGTTTGTTAGGTCAAGGTCAAAAACAGATTATTTGCTGGGATAAGTTGAGAACACGAAGCCGGCGTCCTTGTCTCACCTTTACTGCCACTGTCACCTTGACAGATAAGAGAAAAGACATATGGTCCGTTTAAAATTAATTTAACGCAAACCGGGCATAATCAAGACGTCACAAATGACGTCACAAGGCGATCAGATTTCCAGAAAATGTTCGTGTTTATCATATACCACAGTAAGAGTGCTTACAGTGTTTCTACAATGGCACCGGGTAGGCAGAAGTGGATAAAATAATGAGAGTAGGTCCGATGAAAGCCTGATGAGCAGTGAAGGCACATGAGATTACCCACCAGTCCCATAGCAAGGGCAAGTCCCTGCAGGATTCGTATGCCCAGTGAAGTGGCCTTGCGGTTCAGGTTGAGCAAGGCTGGCTTGAATGAGGCGACCTCTTGTGGCCATTTCTGAAAGCAATAAGGAACAACAAATATTCTGTAGCTCACTGGACATATTGGATGTAAAACAGACCTCTAGTGGACATTTGCAAAAAAGAAACCAAGAAACGCTTATAATTTCATAGCTAAAATCCATATTCCATGTACTATTCTACAAAGCAACAAAGTGATCATGACATTGATATCTCTGGGATACCGGGGATTTTTTTATTTTTAAATTTTTAAAAGTATCTAGCGTTTCTTCACTCTAAAACGACAAATGTTTATCAGTTTTAGCACGTGGTTTTGTCTTTTTACAAAATAGTAATAATCATAATATCAACCTGCTCCATCCAAAGAGAGTAATTGAAGGACTCCTTCAAATCGACCGGCCGTTCTGGGTTGATGCTGAAAATGAAAAATTCATATAAATTAAACTATATGAGGATAGCAACAGCGTTGATGTCTCGCCCANCAGCAGGAGGAAGGAGGCAGTGGACAGAGCCTGGTAAACCTCCTGACCCAGCTCTAGTAAGACACTGTCTGGGACCTTGTCTGCGTCCAAAGCCAGAGAATAGCGAGAGAAGTCTATTACAGGTATTTCCGCCGCCATCTCGTCGTTTACACAGATGATCACAATCCTATCAATCGAGGAGCCATAAATCACTTATTTAATAAATGAAAATAATAAATAATTTAATTAATCCTTAATAAAATAAAATGCGATACAATGAACAAATGAATAAACAAATGAATGAATAAAGAAACTAACGTAAAAGTAAAGGGACAAGTAACCGAAATAGTGGTCCTAACTAAGTGGGCCTGGGATTGGTTCCCTTAAACTGGCTTTTTATTGAGATGACTGGACGGTATTTAGATCAATAGATCCAATATTACTAGTGACACGCCAATAGATTGCAGCTACCGTGCGACACGTCTGCCCCCCACTACTTCGGGGCTCACACAACAGCTAAAGACAGAATGTCAGTCTTAAGTCAAAAGCTAAAACTTTGGACTCATTTCCTGATTAATTCCCGGAATGGTCTAACTACTAAATTATAGTTAATATTAAACAGAAAACATTAATGTCTTTTTATAATCCTAAAACAAATACGGTGTGTAATTTCAATGTTTTACATATAAATGACGAGAATGTTTTAACATTAAAAGGTTAAATACATGTATAAAGCGAAGACCAATTATCCGGTAAAAGTGCCACCAGCATCATTAAATCTACTCACCGGAATAAAACGTCGATATAAAATCGCACAGCAGCTCGGTTCTTCTAAATGTTACCTGTCTGAGAAGTTCTAGTATCGACTACGGCTGTTATTCATCTCAGCAGATAACATCTTGACCTACGTCTGTGAAATTACGTCATCTTAAATCCAGGGCCAGGTCAATAAAATATGTCGAAATCAGTATTTAAATACTTTTTGTCATATGATATAATGCGACTGACGTCTCTACTGCAGACAGTACTTCGATGACTTTTGATTTAATTTCAACAATAAACCGCAAAGATGAAACCTAGTTTATCACGACGGTGACGATGACTTCATTTTTATAGCTAAAAGCGCTATTACACCAATATCATTGACTTAATTTTATTCGTACCTGACATTGGCAGTCTGAGATAAGCCAAAACTGTTCACACTGTTAACTTAACGGCAGTTGCCCCAAGGCCGTGAGATGGTTTGAACACGCAGCAGCTGACTGAATGGATAAACTAATAAAATGTCACTGTAGTGATAAGACTTTGTGTGATGTAAGAGAAAAAAGAAAAAAAAACTTCATGTTTTCGGATAAATTTCTGCTGTTATACATCTTAATGACCCTTAATCGCCCGTAAAACTCGACTTTAAGGCAAAAGATGAGAAATGTCAATCGGGCAGAAAAAAACATCCTTTCAATTGATACCCATAACAGACCACTTGTTACCCATAAAAGCAGAGATTCTCTTTATATTCAAGGGTTGTGGCCTCAGTGCTTTTTACAGCTTATGCCCCTATTTCACACAGACCACGAATCCCACGAATGGCCATGAATTGACAAATTTCACGATTCGTGGTTGAATCGTAATCAGCTCGTGAAGTACTTAACAGATTCTTATATATTCGTAGTCAGTTCTTGCACTTCTTGACCAACAGGAATTGGTGGCAAAAACTTTGATGCCCCTATTTCACACAGACCACGAATCCCACGAATCGCCAGGAATTGAAAATTTCAGGATTCGTGGTTGAATCGTAATCAGTTCGTGAAGTTCTTAACAGATTCGGATATAATCGTAGTCGGTTCTTGATCAATCGGGACTTCGTGGCAAAAATTTTGAGCTGTTCAAAGTTTTGGCCACGAACTCCCGATTCCAAAAAATTGTAGTGAATTTCTGGACAATATTAGTGCGATTCCAGCCGAATCCCACGAATATTCGTAACACTATCGCACCTGTATCGTAACTGAATCGTGAGCGTGTCGAATTAGACCAGAAAATTGGCAAAATCTCACGATTCCAGCCGAATTCCACGAATATTCGTAACACTATCGTACCCGTATCGTAACTGAATCGTGAGCGTGTCGAATTAGACCAGAAAATTGGCAAAATCTCACGAATCCTCTCGAATCCTGAAATTTGTCAATTCCTGGCGATTCGTGGGATTCGTGGTCTGTGTGAAATAGGGGCCTTAGGTCCACTGTATCTACGTAAACTCCTCTCATCTAATGCACCTCGCCTGAGGTTTGCTTTCACACGCACATAAATCAAATTATCATTTTTGTTAGCTTGCATTTTACGTTATAGATTCTATAGTAAATTTGGATTCTAGTAATTGGACCCCCAGGGGAGAACTGCAAAAATGCCAACGTGGTATTTTGCATTAAAAATGTCTACAAGGGGGAAGGAGGGTTGCACTTCCTGAACTTCCCCTACATTGCTTGTTGTTTTTTTAACATATGACAATATCTATTTCCAAGGTTTTAATTGAACATTTGTGAAAAAAATGTTCAACAAATGTTTTCTGCATACGAATATTTGAAATTAATATAACACAGAAATTTCAAAATATATGAAAAACAATTGTCGATTTTAGTGTATCAAATGCCGAGGCACGAATAAAGTGATAATATTATACTATTTTCTGGCCATCAATTTTACATTTCTTCTAGTTTTGTTGTGATACTTTCATTTGATAAAAAATAAATATCCATAAATTCCATCAAAGAATAAAAATTTTTTTTAATAAAAAATAATAGATACCCTAGCCATACAAATGCCTGTGTTATTAAACTGGCAAATGGACGTTACTATAGCTACAACGATGTCTTTAAATATTCATTGACCATTAGCTCGATTGGTTTGTGTTGTTTGTCAAGTAAATTTCCCCATTTATATTCAATAAAGACTGATCCGTTAATGGACATACATTTTAATGAACCTAATAGACTGTCATCTGTATACATAATGCTATAAGGCTGCAATCATATTTCTTGTACACGGCACGGGATTTTTTCCGTCTTAAGGAGATATTGAGTAATTTAATTTTGGTCAAATCTACAGCTACATGTAAATGGAAAGTATTCCTACATACTTGTACCGCTGTTATGTGAATTATTTTACATTATGTTATCATGTAAAATCATATGATTCATTATCTGACACAACATAGTCTTGTATTAAGAAAGTATTTGAACCTATGGATAAAGAAATTGAGTGATAAAAACAGTTCTATAAGGGAATATGAACTCATGTTTCTTGTTGGAGCTCTCAGTCATGCTGAAAAAAAAAAGAAAAAGAAAAAAAAACGCACGGTTTAGGAGAGTTTTTCAATATTCGATGCCTGTATTGCAAAACGGGGCATAGCAGGGCAATCATAAATCCGATTTCACGGTTCATGGTTGCTGCGGTTTATGCCAATCAGACAGAATTAGGACATAATAATACCGGGTATATGGGCAACATACACTGTACATGAAGTGGAACATACAGGCATACAGACACGTAACAGTTTAATTCGCTGGCTATTTATTTTGCCTATCACTGAAAAAAAGGGCATCCGCAATAGTTAAAATCAAACATCATTTGTGGTACCTTTCTCGCACACCTGGTGACAGTTACAATTAGCACAGTGATCTTTAAAAAGACCACTTGTTGCCCATAAAAGCAGAGATTCTCTTTAGACTCAACGCTTTTTTCTACAGCTTAGATCCACTATTGTTCCACAATATTGTTCAACAAATGCTTTCTGCATACAAATGTTTGAATTTAATATAACACAGAAATTTCAAAATATATGAAGAACAATTGTCGATTTTAGTGTTTCAAATGCCGAGGCACGAATAAAGTGATAATATTATACTATTTTCTGGCCATCAATTTTACATTTCTTTTTGTTTTATTGTGAAAATGTCATTTGATACAAAATAAATACTCATAAATTCCATCAAATAATAAAATTGGTTTTTATAAAATAAAAGATGCCCTAGCCATACAAATTCCTGTGTTATTAAGCTGGCAAATGGACGTTACTATAGCTACAACGATGTCTTTAAATATTCATCGACCATTAGCTCGATTGGTTTGTGTTGTTTGTCAAGTACACTTCCCCATTTATATTCAATAAAGACTTATCCGTTAATGGACATACATTTTAATGAACCTAACAGACTGTCATCTGTATACATAATGCTATAAGGCGGGCAATCTTTTTTTCCGTCTTAAGGAGATATTGAGTAATTTAATTTTGGTCAAATCTATAGCTACATGCAAAGGAAAGTATTCCTACATACTTGTACCGCTGTTATGTGAATTCGGTAACATTATGTAATCATGTAAAATCATATGATTCATTATCTGACATGTCATAGTATTGTACAACTGTATTAAGAAAGTATTTGAACCTATAGTTAAGGTCTGTAATGGTTAAAAACAGTCCTATAGCGGAATATGAACTCTCGTTTCTTA